CTGATCATGAAATTAGCAGCTCTGACTCTGATGTTGCAGTTGCTCACCATTTCATATTAGTTATAGTCATATCGAAATAATCGAGAGAATATTCCATACAAGTACAAATAAAAACGTCTCATTGTTAACGTGTGATATTATTGGTAGAATGTTATTAAGTGGGAGCAGTTTGCCCTGAAGGAAACTATACAGGAGACATCTAATCTATACATCCTCCATGTATAGGTTAGCCACAGAGCCTTGAACTCCTTTGAAGGAACAGCACCAAGCCACTGGTTCAGATATGTGGATGACACATGGGTTAAAATCAAAACTCAAGAGGTGCAAGCTTTCACGGAACACATCAACTCAGTGGACAGAAACATCAAGTTCACAAGAGAAGATGTTAAGTTTGCCCTTCTTGGATTGTGACGTTCACATTACAGAGGACAGAGGCCTCCACATTGGGGTATACAGGAAACCCACTCACACAGACCAATACTTACTGTTCGATTCTCACCGTACCTACCAGTACTCAGGCCCAAGGGAAAGAGCATGAACATCTGAGGGAGGCTCTAAAAACTTGTGGTTATCCCAGTTGGACCTTTGTGAAAACAGCAGCCCGTTCCAGAAAGAACACCAATAAGGTGGGTGATGAAGAAAAGAACAAACACAATAACATTGTCATCCCCTATGTGTGTGGGGTATCTGAAAAACTCAGGATGATCTTCAACAAACACCACATCTCTGTGTATTTCAAACCCAGTAACACACTCAGACAAAGACTGGTACGTCCAAAAGACCGTACACCACACACCCAGAAGAGCAACCTAGTGTACGCTGTCTAATGCAGTGAGGAATGCCCAGACTTGTACATTGGTGAAACAAAACAACCACTAAACAAATGCATGGCCCAATACAGAAGGGCTAACTCGTCAGGGCAAGACTCAGCTGTCTATTTACACCTCAAGGAGAAAGTACACTCCTTTGAAGACAGCAATGTGCACATTTTGGACAGGGAAGACAGATGGTTTGAAAGAGGTGTAAAAGAAGCCATCTATGTGAAACTGGAAAAACCATCTCTCAATAGAGGAGGAGGTCTGCGACACCACCTGTCCCCCACCTATAATGCTGTCCTTTCATCCTTGCCCAGGAGATTTAACAGCTTGACCTCTAAAAACAATGGTCGTTCACAAATGGCCTCATGTGACTCTAACAACGCCAAAGTACTTTCAGCATTACTCCCTCAGAAGAGTAACTCAAGCACTTTTAAAGCACTTTTGAGTATTCTCCATTTCCTATTGGGCAATGGACCACAGGGCGCTAAGCCTACATTTTTTGTCTCCAAAATTAAAATTATGGACCACTTGCCCTTCCGTGAGATCCAATTCTCCCATCACAGCCGTCACTTTGACCAGTAGAAACACAGAACGATCTGCTGCCGTAGACAACTGTATGACAACAACACCCCAGCATTTTTAAAACTTCCCCTAGGGATGTTACCACACAGAGTAAAAGGAGTAAAAGGAGCACTTTGTCAACCCGCTGAGTACGCCATTTGCAAACAATGTTACATCCTCACTGTCGGACATAAAGTAATAACATTAACAAATAGCGGCGGGGTTTTTACTCACCACAACTGCAGAGGCTCCCAGCTTCATTTGAAACAGACTACATTATAGACGGTCCGTTATTTATTAATCCCTCTGTCTTTATATTTTTATTTTTTATCCGCTCCCGTTGTCTTTGTAAAGTTAACACATCGCGCCGTCATTTCAAACTCAACACTTCCTGAATTTCTTTCAGATTAAAAGCCCCTTATAACCTCGGCTGAGAGAATCCCTCCATTTTCTTTCTTTTAGGTGACTACAACAACATGTCAGCTGGCACATGAACACACACAGTGACTGAAATAATAGTAAAAGTAATAAAAATAGGACAAGAATAACCTGATGACATCACACACACCATGAAAGACGACCGGGGATAATTGGTGAGTACCAGTGTGTAGTGTATCATGTCTGTCGGCCAAGTCACGACACGATTTTATGATTTCACAATCGTGTAATGTGACATAGTGACTTTCAGATCAGTCATGAAAAGTTATGTAGTGTGTACCAGGCATAATGCAAGTCCTGAGTCTGACCTGTCTCTCAGCGAGTCCTCCTCCATCTATTGAGTCGTTGGGATTTTACTGACAATCCTGCGGAATGTTTTAGTCTCCACCGTAGACAACGGCAGCATTTCTCCGACCACGTAGCGAGCCACGAGCTCTGTGGCTTCTTTCAGACTGATAGGTTTAACGTTATCTCCGTTATTAGAACCAAACGACAGCTGTTGCTGTTTCGGAGCTGAAGGACCAGCGTTCTAAAAGTAACGGAAGTAACTGATGTCTTGTTTGAAAATGTACTCAAGTATTTGATTACTCAAACAGCAAACTAACACGTTAGGTTACTCGTTACTGCAAAAAGTAATCAAAGTACTTTGTAATGCGTTATACCCAACTCTGAGTGTTACATAGGCTATATTGTAACTGTTTATTGTGATTTTGTAAAGTGTTATGAAATTTTGAGCTCGTGAATGGTTATTGCAATGTTGCAGATTATTGCAGATAATATGTTGACTCCATGGCTACAGCCTTGATAGACACTGATGATGGACAACTTAGGAGAAACCGCACACACATACGCACACTACACCAGCCATCACAACACCAGAGATACCTGTAGCAACCCCAGAGCCAGGTAACACTGAAACACACTCACATCACCAGAGAGACAAATACCCACAAACACACTGACACAACCAACACGCCATATGTGAAAAGAAGAAGAGACCTTTTGTAAAATAAATAAATAAAATGCAGTCTATAAATGTTCAGTGAGATGTTCTATTCAGTAATACAATACAGGTCAATCTGAGTTACCTCTGAGAGGGTTTGATAAGTTATCAGAGGGGGTTTTACTTAAAAGGGGAGGTGTTCTGTAAAAGGAAATATAGCTGAGCAGTGTTGTTTCCCCACAGACCTGGTGGTATAATGTGACACACTTCCTGTTATGAAGTAAACGTGCTTGCAGTGTACTGGCTTGTTTCCCGTCTTTGTTACCATGTACAAAGTCTCACTGTTAACATAAAGGGCTGTGGCTCTATGTCAGTGAGGTTAATCTCGTTTCCCATCTCACACACATACTCACACACACACACACACACACACACACACACAAACACACACACACAATATAAAGTGAAACTAGAATAAAAGCAGACTGAGAGGACAGGAGAAAAGACACACAGGACAGTGATCTGGTAGATCCAAATACTTTAAGTCTTCACTTATCCTCATCTAACAACATGGACGGTGAGTTATGGTTACTTTTTATACAACAGTGTCAAGTAAAGTTGCTTGCAAATATTGGTAGTCGCAGGTTGCATTTTTTTTGGGCTTGTTTCTAAAGTGGAGTTGCTTATTTGGGCTTGCCCTCTAAACGTCGGCTTTTGTCCATCTAATAAGTTAATTAAACGCATAATAGTGTGTCTGACTGCAGGATGTTTCCACAGCTCCGCTCCCTCAGTCAGTCAATGAGACTTTTCACATTTAAATTGCACGATTAATGGAGGTTCTTCAACTATTTCGCTAACAAGTGGGCGAAATATGGAAAGAATACAATAATTTGTAGAAAGAGAGAGGATTAAAAGATTCGACTTCAAGAGGGGGACGATTCAAAGGCAGTTTGCAGATTCAGATTCTGTGTTAAATATGTATTCATCATTCAGATCTTGTTCAGCATACCAGCACTGTTACAGTGAAAGTAAAATGGCTGGTTATATGCAACTTCTTTACTTTCATTTTCATTCATTAATTTATTCTTTCCACGTTTTTGGTAGGCTAGCTGGTTTGGTAGAGTTAAAGAGCAGTAAATATAATGTATTTGTAAAGTAATTTTGGTTGCTGGTCCTGGTTGCCTGTTTTTCTCCCAAGATCTGGCAACACTGAACCCAATACAGCGTGGAGTGAGTAGCAAGTATGAGTGCGGATAGCGGGGAAATAGTCGAGTAGTAGTTTTTATACCATCTTGTGTATGTTCATTTATTTGAGTGTTTTGGTTTTTTTGGGGTTTTTTTCACATCTTAATTTTTATTTGTGTCACACTCACTTGACACCAAAAGGGGCATACAAAAATGTAATGATATATGAGTCATTATTTTTATTATATTAAAAAAAATACCTTTTGATGTGTGTTTTTTTACTATATTTACATTGTCCCTGGGCCAGATTTGGGCATTTAACTCTGCTTAACTTTGAATTTATTTATTTATTTATTTTTTATTTGCAAACATTTAACAAGACATACAAAGGAGTAAAGATGACAATAACAAGAGACAAAAACAAATCAGAAACAACAACAACAACAAAAAATCAATAATAATAGTAAAACTAAAAAAGGTAAACAGAACAAGTAATAAAACACAAATGAGACAGGAGTAGGGAGTATCAGTCACAAGTATTCAGAATGTATGATAAGGAATACTGTTGCTTGAGTGTGTGGATGAGTAAAATGTATGAGGTTTAAGGGCAAAACCTTATGTAGAATAAAAAAAAACAATAAAGAAAAACTAATAGGCAATTGAAAAAGAAGGAAAATAAGATAAAATAATAAATAAAAAAAAAAAAAAATAACAAAAACGTTAATGAGGGGCGGCACAGTGGTGTGGTGGTTAGCACTGTCGCCTCACAGCAAGAGGGTTGCCGGTTCAATCCCGGGTGTGGGAGCCCTTCTGTGCAGAGTTTGCATGTTCTCCCCGTGTCAGCGTGGGTTCTCTCCGGGCACTCCGGCTTCCTCCCACAGTCCAAAGACATGCAGGTTGGGGACTAGGTTAATTGATAACTCTAAATTGTCCGTAGGTGTGAATGTGAGTGTGAATGGTTGTCTGTCTATATGTGTCAGCCCTGCGATAGTCTGGCGACCTGTCCAGGGTGTACCCTGCCTCTCGCCCGATGTCAGCTGGGATAGGCTCCAGCCCCCCCGCGACCCTCAAGAGGATGAAGCGGTTAGAAGATGAATGAATGAATGAATGAAAAACGTTAATGCTTTTAAGACATCACTTGTCAGGTTGGGGGCACGGGCTCACAGGCAGCAAGTGTAGGGCTCTGAGAAGAAGAGGGGTCCAGGTTGCTTCAAAGTAATGAGTTTGGTCTTGGAGAGCGGCTGAGAGCTTTTCCATAGATATGTATTCTGTAAGGATATTTAACCAGTGTGATATGCTGAGTTTGTGTCTTGTTTTCCAGTTCCTGAGTATGGTCTTTTTGGCAGTGGTTATGGCTATAAGTATAGGTCTGGTAATATTGGGTGCTGGGTTAATTACTGTGAGGTCTCCAAGTAGACAGAGTGAGGGGGATAATGGAAGGTTGCATCCCAAGAGATCTGACATTTTTTCAGTGACCCCCTCCCAGAAAGTTTGTACTGGGGGGCAGAGCCACATGGCATGATAGTAATTGTCTACAGTGTTTAGTGTACATGATGAGCAAATGTCTGTGTCTATGAGTCCCATTTTATGTGTTTTATGTGTGGTGAGGTGATTTCTGTGGATGACTTTATACTGTATCAGATGTATATTTGTATTTTTTGACATTGTGAAGGTGTTCCGGCAAATTTATGACCAGTAATCAGTATTGGGACTGACCAGTAGGTCATTTTCCCATTTTTGTGTGGGAAGTGATATGATTGTGTCTTGGTTTAGTAATAGTCTGTATAATTTGGATAGTAGTTTCTTTGTGTTTTTAATCTCTAATAATTCTTCTGTCAGTACTGGAGGTTGTAGGTTAGTATTAGTTATACTGATTTTGGCTTTGAGAACTGATTTTAATTGAAAATACTGAAGATACTGGTCAGTCCCAATGCCATAGGTGTGAATGAGATTTTCAGATGAGATTAGTTTATCATTATGGAAGATGTGGTGTAGGTGTGTGATTCCTTTTTTTTCCCCAGGTGACCACCAAGCTGTCAGAGTTGTCAAGATTACTGTATTGTTAAATGTGCTGTGAAGTTTTAAACTTGTGTTGAGAAATGGGAGGTCAGATATTACGATGGGTTTCCATTGTGCTTGTTCTAGTTCTGTCCATGAGTGAGGCTGTGTTGTGTGATTAATCCATTTATAAATATACTGTAACTGGTTGGCGAGAAAATAACAATGAAAATTGGGTGCCTCTAGACCGCCTGTTATTTTACTTTTTTGTAATGTTGTGAGTTTGATCCTTGGTTTTTTATTTTTCCAATAGAATTTGTGTGTTATAGAGTCCAGTGATTGAAACCAGTTGGTAGTAGGTTGGATTGGGATCATTGTAAAAAGATAATTGATTTTGGGTAATACTGACATTTTGACTGCAGCTATTCTACCGGTGAGAGAAAGTGGCAAGTTCATCCAACGGTTGAGATCATCTTCAATGGTTTTGAGTAGTGGGGTGAAATTTAATTTGAACAACTCTGACAGCTTGGGGGAAATGTTTATACCTAAGTATTTAATGTTGCCAACAGGTAAGGGAGGGGGTGCTTGTGAGGATGCAGCCATCCAGTCCCCCGCACTCAATGGCAAGATGGTAGATTTGGTCCAATTTATTGAGTAATCTGATATTTTTGAGAACTGATTAATGAGCTTTATGACTTCTTGCAGTGAATTGGATGTGGACTGGAGGTACAATAAAATGTCATCTGCATATAGGCTAATCTTGTGATGGTAATTGGAAACACGGATGCCTTGGATATTGTGATTCTGGCGTATTGCAACTGCTAAAGGTTCAATGAATATGGCAAATAGTGATGGAGAGAGTGGGCATCCCTGTCTTGTTCCTCTATGTAGAGCAAATGGTTTTGATATAATTCCAATGGTGATGACAGTGGCCATGGGTGAAGAGTATAGTGTTTTAATCCAGTGTACAAACGATTCTCCAAAACCAAATTTTTGTAGTGTTGAAAAAAGAAATGTATGATGAACTCTGTCGAAAGCTTTTTCAGCATCAAGGGAGGTGATAATGGTTTTAAGGTTGTTGGATCCAGAAATGGTTATCAGGTTAAAAAGTCTGTGCGTGTTATCTGAGGAATGTTGTCCTTTAATGAAACCGGTTTGATCAGGATGTATTATATGAGGGATTACTTTATTCGATGCGGATGGTCAGGGCTTTGCTTATTATTTTAACGTCTGTGTTGATTAGTGATAGAGGCCGGTAATTGGAGCATTGAGTCGGGTCTTTGCCTGGCTTTGGCAGTACTGAGAGGAGAGCAGTATTCATGTGTTGGGGAATTTTGGAGGTATGTTTGATTTCTTGGCACATTTTCATGAATAGTGGTGAAATAGTGTTCCAGAAATGTTTGAAGAATTCAGCAGGGAGGCCGTCCGGACCAGGTGCTTTATTGTTTGGCATTTGGTTGAGTGCCTTAAAGTATTCATCTTGTGTAAATGTTTTGTCCAGGATATTTGCTTGATCAATTATTATTTTGGGAAGGTTGAGAATGTCTAAAAATGAATCAATTTCTGATACGTCTGGTTCATGATCACAGGTGTATAGTTTACTGTAAAATGATTGAAAAGTGTTGTTGATGTCTTGGCCTGAGAACATTGGCCTCCCTGCTGAATCCCTCACTACGGATATTATGGATTTTTCTTTGTTATGTTTTAGTTGGTTTGCCAGGTATTTCCCATTTTTATTGTTATATTCAAATTTATCACGTCTTAAGCTTTCTAATATAAATTGAGTTTTTTTGTTAAGTATTTTGTCTAGTTGGAATTTAACTTGTCTTAGTTCATTGTGAATAACTCCTGATGGGTTATTTGCATATTAGTCATTCAGCTGTTTGAGTTTTCTCTCTAGTTCATTTTCGACGATGAGTATGATATTATTTTTCCTCTCATTACTGCTTTTGCCGTTTCCCACAGAGTTGTTGGTGAGGTGTCTGGAGAATCGTTTATATCAATCAGGGATGCCCACTCTCTTTTGAAGTAAATGTCGAAATCTGGATCTTTAAGGAGAGAGGTATTGAAGCGCCATCTTGAGCAGAAAGGTTTGATAGGATGATTGGTGTTCAGGGAGAAAGATACAGGGGCATGGTCACTTATTACAATGGGATGGATATTTGTATCAGAGAT